CGTGTCATTGATTGATAGCATGAATAAAACATGAATTCAATCAACAAATCTCTTCAAATGTTTGTTACCGATTTGTATTGACTCCAAAAAGCATCAGATTTAAAATTGTTGAAAACCATTGAATTTTGAGTTTGTAATGAATTTTTAATGAGTTAAACATATATCGTATTAAAGCTAAAATTTTGTGCCAATTAATTGCTTTATAAATTATAAAATACCAAATATACTAACCAATTATTTGACAGATCAATAACATTATATTGATTTACTAAATTAATTATAGGATTCATGTTTCGATAATATCAGTATTAATGTTACGTTAATATAGTACAATGACATATAATTTTTTAAAATATAATTTATATTAAGTGGTTAGTAATTAATTAATTGCTAATGAAACAGTTAAAATTACATTAATTATCATATACTGTACTGTATTGTACTTTATGACATAAAGTTTATGTTAATGATTAAAAGCATGAACACGTACTTTTAAGCAATTATTTAATTGTGAACTTTATATATCTGATAAAAATATATAATTGTTGTTAATATGTGCTAAATATTAACCAAAATATAAATAAAAATTATTTATTAGTCTGTTGCAAATTAATTGAAATTCTCTGTGAATAACAAATGCATTGACATTTATATTAGTATCAAATTCTTGTGCCACAAATTTGACTAAAGTATCAATCAATAAACTATTAAATAATTCACAACTAAATATCAAAAATATAATAATTATAACAATAAAATGACATATTATAAAAATACTATACATTAAAAAGTAATACAGAATTTATATTTTGCATCAAAAACAATGAATCAAACTCTAGTTAATAAGCATTTTGTATAAGAATTTTATGCCAAAATATTTTGATTGATTTTCTTGACACCAGAATATTCTGTACATATTCTGCATTATCGCCGGTATTTTGCTTTCTGAGCGATTTTAAAGCCATACTACTGTTCCCATCACATGTCAAACCACCAGATATTCTCTACACATGGAGTATACATCACCAGAATAATCTTCGCTATTGAGAGCTACCGTTCCCCTGAACAGCACCGACACCTCGTATGCCAAATAGGAATTGACTGCTTGTATACAATAATAAACACCAAAAATCCATTCATTGAATGAGTTTTCAAAAGTGATTCACAAAAATGACTACAAAGGAGACCAAAACCGATAAGATCTTGGAGCATGTGATCAAAGGTAAGTGACCATCAGCTGATCCCAGCCGTCGGCCACCACTTCCTAGTCTGTCATACACTCACTAACAATGTCTGGCATCTGATCGCCGCAGAGATAATGTCGACCACCGATGAGCGGAAGCGCGAGAAATTCATTTTGGACAACAAGAAGACCGTCGAACCGATGGTCAAACTCTTGGCCCAAACGGTGACGAGCGGTGGC